GAAATAGTAATCATCAGGCGGGGATAGCTCAGTTGGGAGAGCGTCAGACTGAAGATCTGAAGGTCGCGTGTTCGATCCACGCTCACCGCAATTTAAAGTTTTTTTTTGTCAAAGCGACTACGTTTTGGTTGACGATAAGAAACGGCCCATATAAGAAAAGCCCAGTATTTTCCAAAGTCCAAACCCATGTCTTATACACGAAACATTTTCGGGACAAGAAGCCGTAAGTACCACTCTCCGACGAGTCTGGTCGGAATCGGAGGTGAATACTTTGCTTAATGGCTCATCTATGAAAATGTGATTATAATATGCATTCGTGAATGGTGAAAAAAATAAGGGTTTAGAGGGTAAAAACTGGAAAATATTCTAAGGTTTAAAATGTGGGTACAGTACGATCTAATATCTTTGAGATTTATAGGATTTATCTTAAAAAATTGGAAAATTATTATTCGAAAAAGGAAATTGTATGATTTATTTTTTTTCCAACTGTATATTATCAAAAATTAATGTAATTCTTCTGTGCAGTCCCTAAATAAATTAAGACCTAATCACATATCCCTATTTTTTTAACAACTCCTTCAAAAAAGAGAAATCACAAAAAAGATTAATTGTTTCTTTTTCATTGAACCTGAAACGTATGTGATCCCACCATGTGTATTAAGATTTTTTGCCACTTAACACAGTACACAGTAGAGAAATACTCGTTTTTCGGAAATATATAATCATAGAGGTTATAATAGTGAAACTTGTACTTTTCATATGATAAATCTTACCAAAATAAATTCGATTCACCATTCTTTATTGAAGTACTCGTTTTCATTATTGATAACTTATGGTACGTATAGAGTGCAATGCACATCTTAAATAATTGTCCTTGACATGTGTAAGCTTGTTTTACTCTCGAATTTTTATTGTAATATATTTAGTTATTCATTATATTCGAAGTGATCGAATCATTTGTTGACCTTTCAGTTACTATATTCTGAAAAACTTATAAATTAATTATTAATCTTTTAAGCACAATCTTACTCTTTTAAGCATAATCTTATACAAGTATTAGAATGTAAATTTTAATACAAAGCGATAATGAAAAGCAAATAAAAATGTTTTGATATTTATGCGGTGAAAAAGGTTATCACCGACAACAAATCAATGAACGTACATTCCCCACGACGTTCTTTTCACCCATTGTCTCCAACATTTCTAGCAACCACAAAGGCCTAATCACTACTAATCAGCCTTTAATTATATAATCAAATCGTATAATTAAAAAGTTATATTAAAATAATTGGGAATTATCAGACACACCTATTCACCAATGTTTACACGAAATCTTCTGAAAAATCTCGCCTAGCCTACTGTTTTAAAAATGCTACTCTTACGTATTATTTAATTTGTGTTCTAATAAAAAAAAAACAAAAGGAATTTTTTGGAAGGAAATTCTTTAACGTGAGTTTTAAAACGCACCGTATTGAAGAACAGAGCCTTGCACGTGCGGGGAAGGGAACGATACACGTGTCATCGTACAGTAAGAAAAGGGCAATCTGAATCAGCAGAAGACGACAAAGAATGGAAAACGAATGAAATGTGGTTTACTTTTAACTATGGTTCACTTCTGGTCAGGTCATGGTGACTTTTGTCCACGTGGCGTATGTGAAGACTAACCACGTAGATGAGTCGCTTGGACGGTCAATTCGATGATGACGAAAGCAGGTCTTATAGCCCTTTAACCTATATGCTTCAATGTGACCGTTTCACTTGCAGACCGGACCGTCAACGTTTTACAGGTTTTTTTTTTTTTTACTTTTCTTTTTTTGTCAACTTGTGTTTATTATTTTTTGTTTGTGTTATTATTTATTTCCGTCGTATTTTAATATTTTTCAATAATGTTTGTTTTTTCTTTAGGTTTTTCTATACTGTTATGTGATAATTGCCCTTTTTTTTTTTTTTTTTGCCATCAATTATTTTCCTTTTTAAAAAACTCTAATATTTTTAACGTCTCACTCCATGTATTGTTTTTAATTTAGTACATACAATAGAAATATATGATAGGTGGATTTATTGCCATCTATAAACTATATGCACAAGATATATTTTTAACTATCATCACACAAAATTTGAGATAATTTGAACGGAACACGATAATTGATATCAAATGAAAGGACGATTTAGCCTAACATATCTCTCTTAACGAGTTTGCGGATCTATTAGTTAACCAAATGCTTATTTACATATTTTTTTATACCAATCAAATTATAAGGTCAATAGTTTCTGAGAATGAAGGCGGTATGTCAATTTTTACGTAAATTGTATATGTTATTCTTAGTAACTCAGATTCTGATGTTAAACAGAACCCATCTCACTCACTCGTCGAAAAAAATCGAGAGAGAAAGAGATTTGGAAATTGTAATTTGTTTCTGCTAACGATTCAACAAGAGCAATACAACCTTAATATAGCTTTGGTTTAGCACATGAGCTTTAACCAATTCACAGCTTAACCGGAACAAACCGGATTTACACATTTCA